GTTTGAATGGAAAAAATTCGGGACGGTAACGGGGTCAGTTAAGCGAAAGGTATTTTGAGGTGAATCTATTTCCTACACCTACTTCACATGAACATCAGAGAATCGCATCTGTAACATATGGCGCTTTGGCGTTCGAACACGCACGGAATGGTTTACAATGGCTTCGCAGCGAAAAAAAAACGCATGGTTTCCGGCAAAAATTGGAGGCATGTCCACCGTCGTCGAGCCTTGTCTACTGAGGCTAGTTGTTTTGGAATAGATTTTCTATTTTGTTTCTATGATCACAAGTGAAGGAGCAGCATTGGTCTAGTATATGTAGAAGATACCAGCACAAAGGCATAATGATTGTTTAAAGAGGAAACGCGCAGAAATTTGCTGTTCATGAAAGAAAAGATGTCCTGAAGGTAGAAGAGTGGCCAAGTGGAGTACTGAAGGTAGAAGAGTGGCCAAGTGGACGATGTGGGTCACTTTCGCGGCAGAAAGCGCCCTATCAATAAAGATAGATGATGCAAAAAGAATCCATGGAATCCAGGCAAACCATACTATAAATGTTCCATGATGCATGATTTCCTTACCAAGAGTGAATTTCATATCGAGCCGTCTCACCTTGAAAGCCACTATCAGCTTTTGCTTTCGTGTATGGACGACTCTTCTGCGCGTGCTCACATATTACTATATGTACTCCTCACATATTACTATATGTACTCATATACTACCACAGTGATATCATGAAATAACTACTGATAATATGATTATGTAAAGAGGTGAGGTTGTTGCAACGACTACCGAAACAGATGTCCAGGTTTCTGACAACCGGGAGGCTAGCCAATTCAGCGTTTTGTAGTGCTGCCCGGGAGCTCTCACACATTCCCACTACTACAGCATCTCTGCTTTATTTATTTCCTTAAAAAGCTTAGTTTCACCTGTGCGGTCTTTCATGTCGTGCCAAGCTTTTTCAAAACAGTGTTCTGCTTTCTATAAGAACACGTGCATGGAACAAGGGACCCAACTTCATTTTTCCTGAGCGACCTTCTGAGCCTCAAAAAAGGGTTCAAAAGCTGCTTCATGTTTCTATCATCCGTGGCGACAAAGTTGCATTTGTGATTGAGGCTTGCGTGGTGTCGCAAAACGGTATCCGCGGCTAGTAGTAGATGCCGCATTACCATTATGGCCATCATAACCCATATGAGTAGTTTTTTGTCAAAAGCTTACGTCACAGAGGTGTTGCGCTTAAACATTTTCAACCCCTTTTGGCATTTGTAAGGCCGTTCAGAAAAAATAAACCATAGTCGTATGCTCCACTTACGTGCCCCTACATCATGAAAAGAACCATTTTTAAAAAGCGGGGCATGTCCTGAAGGACTTTCCTGGTTGGCACTACGGAAAGCGTAAGCTTTTCCATCTACACTTTCGTCCTAGTTGACAGAAGCCTTGAACCACCGAAACGTTTACAGCCGTGGGACGTGGGAGAAGTTGCCGTTTCCGGGGTTTCCGACCATATTGCTAGATTTGTTTTTCCAGAGACACACCATTTGGCCCCTCTACATTCACATTTTAGCGGTACGCGAGTTTTGTCTTCGAGCAGCAGGATACCGTCCGAGAGAAAATACATGCAGAGTGAGCTCCTTAGCGAGAAAACAACACAGACAGAAACAATTAGAAAAAAAAGAAAGTATTGAAGTACATGAAATGTAATCAACAGATTGCATTCTCTCCTAAACTAGTCGAAACAAACATGTTGGGCTAGTTTTCTCCTCAATGTGCTTTCCTTCTTTAGCGCTTTATGGCCTTAATCGCAACGTTTATGGCGGCGACTTTCAGTAGGAAGGGTGAACGACCTCGCTGCCTATCTCAAGGTCTCAAGTTCTTCATTATACTTCTGATCACTAGTCCCACTGTAGCAATTTATTTGCTCTCTATGTTCTGTCAAGTAATTGCTTACGGCGTGTTGATGGACATAATGGACATCTAGACTGCAAAAAAAGCTCACCATACCCTATTCATCTTGTGAAGGAAGACACCCAGATCAAGATGTCTAACTAATTTCCCTCATTTTCCCTTTATTTCTTTAGCTTACAGGGTTCGACCATACTTCGCAACTCCCTACACATCGTTTGCAGTTCGACTATGGAGTAGATACATGTTGCAAGATCGATATGCATATACTCAACACTCGAACTGCAAGACTGTGGCATAGTATGACTGCACCTGAACACAACTAG